CATAAAAGCCGACATTTCCGGGCGCGTCCTCCCGATCCCCGTATAGAAAGCCCAACTGTCCTAATCGGTAGTTCGTGGACACAAACACCACGTCATGTGTGGCCAAAGCGCTGCCGTTATATTGAAAAGAAGATCCCATCTTAAGAGCCCCTCCGTGTATCCAAAACATGACCGGTTTTAGGGGTGCTTTTGTTAATGAATTTAATTCATCACTGATGGTTAAATAAATACAGTAAATCATCCTATATTTCATAAGACATTCACATTATTAATAAAAAATAATTAATCCATTATAAATTAAACTATAAAATTAAGTATATTTGTAGCATCAAAAAATTTGTATATTTTAAAAATATTAAAAATTGGGATGGGACGTATAGGGCAAAAAATTCGGAACGCTTCACGATTTTGCGTGTCATCCTTGCGCAGGGGCCATGCTAATCTTCTCTGTATCGTTCCAATTTTAGTATATGTCCCCCCGACAGGGGACAATATTATACATAGCTCATTCACTTTTATACTTATTAAATAGCATATGCTTTCAATGTTACAGTTTCTAACTCTTCAATTCATATATAGTATATTTTTGCAAAAATAATTATTTAAATGCATTCAAATAATTAATATATTTTAATTACTTGATAAATATTTAATTAGACATAAAGTTTTGATCAATATTTGTTTTAATTGTGAATTAAAATAATTTATAAATTTCATGATAAAATGTAATTAAAACTACTCATGTTGTAAACAACTGACATTAGAATTGTAATTATTCTAATTGATATTAATCATGATTTCAAAATAATGATTCTTATAATTAAAATAAACCATTATGATAATTACAGAACGCAATAAATGCATTATAATCATTATTTTAATGATGTATGCTCAAATAAAATATAAATTTAAGTATGATATACGTATTTTTAATGTTACTTATACATTTATTGATTTCTATAATAAATAATATTTAAATAACAGTAACTAAATATTTTTACATTACTTAAACTTTATAATATTTACTTTCAATACTTAACTAGTTTATTATAAAAACAATGATTAATATCACCGCCAACCATGTTACTTTAATCAACCATTGGAAACGTAAGACCAAAGTAAAGCCATTGATAAATACATACAAGCTACATTACAGCGACTTTATTATAATTAAATATTTACAATTATTGCACAACCGTGGTGCATTTAACAGACCATCATTTATGGCATTTATATTACTTTTTTCAAATATATTTAATATAATTAAAACCATAGTCTGTAGGAAAATCGCTGACATTAATACCCGGCTATCGCTATACGATATGTCACTGTTTTTGGGCGATTTACACGATTACGCGGGTTATGCTATTATTTTGGTTAATATAATGGCATACGTGTTGACCAAGGTTTTACATTTTAATACATCAAAAGCATACGTAAAATGGACTCAATTCTTCTATGTAATCAATGGTAACCAATCGGATGGCGTGGATATATTTGGGGTACATTTTGATAAACATATGCTTAGGTTACGACAATTTGTGAAATTCTCGTATAAAATGCCATTAATTATAATCATATGTTTCGGTAAATAAACATTTTCTATTAATTTGTTATTTATAACTATTTTATAAAATTGATTGTTTAAAAAATTTTAATTGTTAAAAAGGTGTCGCTTTGATTGCAGTGATAATTAACGTGCAAATCACTTACTACAGAGTAGACACCCTATTTCCCGCATTATTACCACTATTAATAAACTATTTATCATTAATCATGTGTATCGCCGATGGCTTTGCAGTATTGGCAATGTTTAATACGTTACAATATTATTATCATCTAGACATAATCATAATTAATAAAGAATTAACCAAATTAAAACACCATGCTAACGATAATTCAATCAAGATAGTTTTGTGGCAGTACATGCGTTACCACGATCATCTATGTTCAATAATTGCCCTAGTTAACAGTATCTACCGCAATGTGTACATGACATTTTTCCTGACAATTGGCCCTGTTAATATGATATTTTTGCACATGTTCTTTTTTGAGTGTCTACCCTATCAGCTCCAGGTATTGGCCGCCACTGTATTCATCACAAACTCTATGGTATTAACGGTAATCCAATACACAATCGCATTATTATCGCATAGAATGCATAAAATGACAGTTGATTTATCACGATTTCAATGGCAACTAAAGGGCTGTGATTTGCGGCTAAAACTCAAACTCCAGACATATTTCGAGCGATTGAGTAGTAATCGACGAATTGGTGTCACTATTGGGTCGTTAACTGTACTAAACTTTCCCGTATTATATCAGGTCTGACAGTATTTATGTATAAATTAATTGTTGAATTAATTATGTTGTTATTGTAATTAATTTTATTGGTTTTTATTTTTAATAATCTATAGTTGTCTATACGTTATGTGCGATACTTTATTCTTGTCCACAGAAATGCCCAAACGATTACACGTTAATTATGCCCATAAAATACTATACAATTTAATGTTATTTAATGGATGTTTCAATAAAAGTAAAGTTATTTATTTAAAAGATAAAATTAAAAACACTTTATTGTATTCAAATGTATAAGTATGGCAGTAATAAATTTTATATTGTATTTGTTTAATTTTTAAAGATAAATTTATATTTATTAAACAATTTGCTTGAACATTTATTTATACCTATAGGTATGTAAAAATTTATGTTAAAACGTGATATTGTTATTGCAATAAAATTGTTTAGTAAACAGGTTTTGACTATCAATGAGAGCATGTTTTGTAAAGGATATCCATTTGTCAACCATTTTGTGATAAATGAGTATTTGATTCCCATTAGAGAGATATTTAGGATTTAGTTGTGTTTCATTTAAAATTAAGTTATTTTTGAATATTATTGTTTGAAAATGTGTTCAAAACTATTGAGTGAATCGTTAATTGAAATGAAGAGTAAATTCAATGCAATGAAGAGTTTGTG